AAAAAACAAAAAAAAAAACTCAAGTAAATATTTTGTCCTACCTTGTTCAACAAGTAGTTCTGACTTTTCTTGATTGAGAAGCCTGGATTCTTTATTTAGTTTTTCCAGTTCACGCTGACAGTCTACTAACTTCCTTTCTTTTTCTCTTACTATTCTCTGATGATTGTGATATAAGTCATTAAGTTGCTCATCAGTACCTTGAAAAACCTGTGACACCAAAATACAATCTTTTAATGTGTAAATATTAGAAGATATGATCACTCTAAGGTATAGAATATACTGCATCTTATTCAACATCCTTCTTTTTAACATGCACATAGAAGTAACAGAAACTTCAAAATGTGGTTCGCAAAACCGTTTCTGGTGAGGTTCATTACAAGCGTCTCCAAATTTCAAGTAGAAGAAAACTCCAAGACCACAAACCTTTTCCATTTTCTGTTCTAGTTCACTGTTATCTTTCTCCATTTGCTTTTTTCGGCTTTCCAAGGCTTTAATTTCATTATCAAGTCTTATTATTTTAGAGAGATTGTGTTCAATTTCTTGTAGACGACTCTAAAAATAAAAAACATTACACATAAATAAAATTCACTGTAGTTTACTTTGCTGATGGGTGAGGAGAAACAGGATGTGCAAGAGCCAGTTCTCTCATTTAATGCTAACAGCGGGACTTTAAAGGAGGCACAGAGAAAAACAAGGGTCAGAGATATTAAGTAGCTTGCCTAAGTCCTCACAGCTAGTAAAGAAGAACATAAAGTTACTTTTCTTTTTTGGTACTGGGCACTGAACGCAGGGCCTTGTGCATGCTTGGCAAGGGCTGTACCACTGAGTTATACACCCTTAACTTCCACTTTTTACAAAATTTTTGTCTTTTTGAGACAGGGTCTTGCTATGCAGTTCAGGCTGGCCTTGAACTCACTTTGTAGCCCAGGCTGGTCTTGAACTCACAAAGATCTTCCTGCCTCAGCCTACCGAGTGCTGGGATTATAGATGTGCACCACCACACCTGACTTAACTTCCACTTTTAATTTCAAAGCCAATGCCCTGCCCACAGTACCTTTCACAAAAGTCATTCACTCGGCACTGAGAGCTACAACACGCAAAGTACATTTTAAAGAACGTGCTCTTTAAAAGGCTAATTTATTTTTGCTTTTTATTGTTATTTTTGGCAGTGTTGGGGATCAAACCCAAGGCCTTACACGTGCTGGGCAAGGGCTCTACTATATCCTCAAGGGCTCAGCTATTTCCTCAGCCCTAAATTATATTAAAAATATCACAACTCAGGTAGAAACTTATGGTGAGTTAGTAGCACATTCTGAGCCTGTAGGCATGGCATTTCAATCCAAACTGTTCTTAGGCACCGAGGCCTATGAGTAGGTGAAATATGACAAATGATCTTGGTAGTTTGTTCCCAAGATCTCCTTCCATGGGTAGTTGGCTGCCTCATCTTCTGGAATCGTGTAACCTGGTTTAAGGCACTCTCTTCTTGCATGATGCTGGGGATACTCTCCCAGGCTTTGGTGCTGTAATTGCAAACTTGACCAACTCTAAGACAGTTTTAGAACCTAATTTTTTGTTTGTTTGTTTGTTTGTTTTTCCCCGGTACCGGGAACCGAACTCACGACCTCACGCTTGCCAGGCAGGCGCTTTTGCCGCTGAGCTAAATCCCCAGCCCCTAGAACCTAATTTTTAAATTAATGTATTGCATTTTAAGATACTGGAATGTTCAGATATCAACTACAAACCTCCACAGCTGAATCAAAATGCATTATGAACTTTTATCATTAAGATAATACGCTAACAATATATCTCATATTTGTATACTAATTGATAGTACGGAAGCACCACATAAGTAGAAACTTTGTTTACTTTATTCCCTTAATGTATTCCCCAGCACAAGAGGTGTTTAATATTAGCTGAGTGAGAGAGACATTTGAAAAAAATGTTACTAATAATGTCACAAGTATCAATAATTGAACGCCTCCTACAATACATTCAGACACTGCACAAGGCACTGCTACAAATTCTCTCCAGTCCTCACAAAACTACATGCTAAGCAGGAGACTCAGGAATGAACTGACTTATACAAAACCATAGTTAAAACCAGTGGGTAAGACTGGGAAACAGAGCAACACTAGAAAATTAAACATCTTTAGGCAAAAAGCTACTTAACCCTTACCTCACATCACATTAAAAAAACTAAATTGAAACGGAACATATGACTAAATGTAAGAATTCAAAATACCAATCTTTTAGAAAAAAAAAACAGCAGGAAATTTCTGTATTGGGTCAGCCAAAGATTTCCTGGATAAGAAACAAAAAGCACAAGCCATAGAGAAAACAATGATAAACTGTACCTCATCAAAATTTAAAACTTCTGCCTTGGAAATGCAGTTTTTAAATCAATTTGCAAAACATATTTCTGGAAAGGGTTTAATCCAGACTATATGAAGAACTTTCCATAATAAAAAGGAAAAAAAATCTGCTGAAAATAAACGAATACTTTACCAAAAGAAGAAATATAGATAGTAAATAAAAATATGAAAAAATGCTCAAGATCAAGTCATTAGGAAACTGCAAATAAAAACCACAAAGAAAACAGCCTCTCAGTGAGTTACCACCACACAATTACTACAATGGCTGAAATGAAAAAGAATGACAGCACTAATCATGGAAGAGGATGCAAAACTGCACTCTGCACATTGCTGGTTGGAATGCAAACGGTACAGCCCTTCGAAAAATAGTTTGGCAGCTTATAATGTTAAACACACACACCATGTAACCTAGGAACACATGCCTAGAATTAACCAAGAGAGATGAAAACATGTCCAAAGTCCTGTACATAGAAGTTCAGAATGCTTTTAGTTGTAAGAGCCAAAAGCTAGGAATAATTCAACGCTCATTAACCGGGAAAGGATTAAAAAAAAAAACCTGTAATATAAATATATAAAAATGGAAAAGCATGCATTATAATACAGTGTAGAAATGAAGTAGTCTTTTGTGGACAGATGCTGAAAGTGATCTGGTCCAAACTTTGGAAGGGAAAAATCTTCCTATGTGAGAGATGAAAAGGACTTTGGAAATCATCCCTACAACAGTTAACTGAATTATCTGCTGAGTGAGGCTCTAAGGATACAAACAAGAACATTAAACTCTCAGTAAACTAGTTAATTAAACACACGTAAACAAGTACACAAATATCTCAACCTTTCCAACAGCCTTGGTTTGAATCCTGTCACTATTTAATAAACACTAGGCATTATCATTTAACCCTACCTTGACATTTCCATACAGACTCCACTCCAACTAAATGGATTTCCTTGACAGCGTTCAAAGACAGCTTTTAAGGTACTGCCTCTAGGTCTTTAATGACCTATTCCTTTACAATCATTGAAGTTACCACCACCCACTCACCCCCACTCAATCCTATGAAATCCTTTCCGACCACTTTGGACAGAAATAAACCTCCTTCTTTTTTATTTATTTTTTGGTTTTCTTTGAAAGAGCCTCACTATGCAGTTCAGGCTGGCTCTGAACTCACTATGTAGCCTAGGCTGACCTTGAACTCTTGATGATCCTCCTGCCTCGGCCTCCTGAGTGCTGGAATTACAGGTGTGGGCCACCACACTGGCTTACTTCCTTCTCCTAAGCTTCTACAGCTCTTGTCTCTTTTCTGCCTTATCATTATGTGTATGCTTGTCACCTCTCCAGCTAGGTACACCTCAAGAAAATAAAATGTGCCCCAAATGGCAACTGCCATAATAACAACAATCATGCTTGGCTTGTTGCACTATGTATAATATAACACCAATGCCTCCTTCTCCTTTTTATTTACTTTTTTTGCAGATCAACCTGAGGCCTGGCACAAGTGAGGCAAACAGCCTGCCACTGAGCTATACCCCAGCATCTCACCCTTTACACTGATTTACTTAACTCAGCGCTCCTGCTCTAATAAGCTTGTGTGGGAGTACACACATGTATACCTGCAAGTGTTTGTATGTACTGTGTACATGCAAAAAAAGTCAGTGGGAGGATATACTGAGAGGTCAGAGTTTTTTAGCTTTTTACTTTTCAGAATTGAGTGCTTTTTACTTTTCACTTGAATCCTCGTACACTTTTTTCACTTGAAGCACATATTAAAAAAATAATAATTAAGTAAATACAAATATACATACAATGTCTTCCAGTTTATTATTAATTTGACTTCTCCCCATTCTTTAAAAGCTCAGCCTCATCTTGCCTCCTTTCTGAAGCCTTTGTCAAACATTTCCAGGCATGGCAGTAATTTTTGAAAAAATGTTTTCTACTTTCAGATTCAAAGAACCATACCACTATTTATAAGTGAATTTTAAGGAGGACAATCAGTAAATTATTTAATGGTTAAGAAATCTACAGGTGGGTGAGGTGGTACATGCCTGTACCCCAGCACTTGGGAGGCTGAGGCAGGAGGATCACTGTGAGTTCAAGGCCAGCCTGGGCTACACAGTGAGTTCAAGGCCAGTTCTGAACTACAGAGTGAGACCCTGTCTCAAAAAAACCCAAAAAAACACCCCTCCCCCCACCACAAAAAAAAAAACCCAAAACCAAAAAAAATCTATGAAGTCTTCTATCTGAAATTTAGCAAGCAGTCATTTCTAAGAATGTTCTTAGACTGGCATAGCTCAAGTGCAAGAATGCACTCTTTGACTCTGTAGCACAAATCACAGGAAACACTCAGTAAATGCTTACTAAATCAATGAACAGGATTTTCTGCAGGCCTTATTATAAACTACAGGATTCACTTGTAGGCTGACCTACCCAGGAGATTGAGACAGAAGGACCCCAGCTTGAACAACAGAGCAACACCCTGTTTCAAAAACTACAAAAATCCATAGGGTTTAGAAAGCTATACCGATTTGCAAATACATAAACATGTATGGAACAATTTCAAACTTTGTGCCATGTCAAGAACATGCTATACATCATAAACGTTTCTAGAAAGACCTGTCAATTAAAACATTCTAAAAACACAGAATTATAAGATTTGTTAGTTACACTGCTGTTTAAGGGCTACTGATGTACACTACCGATTTAATGTAGTGCAATGTTACAAACTTGTTTTCTCTCAAATCCAAGCTTTCGGAAACATAAAGACTAATCATCTAATACAGATTTTGGATATCAACTATAATAAATCTTATTAATTTTTTAAAGAAATGTACATGCGAGCTGGGGATATAGCTCAGCAGCACAGTGCCTGCCTGGCAAGCATGAAGTCCTGAGTTTGATTCCTGGTACCAAAAAAAAAAGGAAAAAGAAATGTACATGCCATTCAAGTTCATGTAACAATAGAGTATTTTACCATGGCAAAAAAACGACTTTTGCTTAGTATGCCAGAAAACAATTATTTTACATCATTGTGATAATAATTAACAATATATTGTACACACACAAACTGTTAATAGATCATATCACAAAAAATGCTGAGAGTGGGGCATAGTGGCACACACCTGTAAACCCAGCACTCAGGGGGCTGAGGCAGGAGGATCACTGCAAGTTTGAGACCAGCCTGGGCTACAAAGTAAGCTGAAAGCCAGCCTGAACTGCATAGTGAGACCCTGTCTCAAAAAGATGAAAAAAAAAATGCTGAGGTAATATACATGGTAATTTGTTTGATTTAGTTTAGCCATCCCACAACACATACTTACATTAAAACATCATATTGTATATTAATAAATAAATGGAATTTTTATTTACTGATTAAAGAAAAAACTGAATTACCTCCAATGGCTCAAGTTCATTCTCATATGATCTGATGATTTCCTTGGAAGATGTTAACTGGGCTTCCTTATTAGTAATCTGATCACGAATTTCACAAGCTTTTTCCTTATTTTGTTTCAGGTATTTCAGTTCTGTTTGGCATTCTTTTACTTTCTGACCTTGTGTCTGACGTACCTGACGAAGTGTTTCCAAGGCTTTGATATACCTTTGAAGAAACCAATAAACCTGGCTAAGTAAGTTATGGTATATTTATAGTGAAATATTATGCAGTCATTAGATTGCAAAGAGTTCATAATAACTTAGTAAATGCTTAGGACATAATGGTGACAGAAAAATTACATTTATACAGTCAGGTAAATAAACAAACAAAAAAGAAAACTGAAAGGAAATACACCCAGTGGCTGTGACTGGGTGAAAAGTAGTAACTGATGAACTTTTTGCTTTTTAAATTTGTTTTTAAAAAAGAAGTATCCAAAAGATAAACATGGTGGTGGTACGTGCCTACTCAAGAGGCTGAGGCAGAAAAAAGAGAGGCCAAGGCAGAAGGATCTCTTGAAGTAAGTATAAGGCCAGCTTAAAAAGAAAAAAAAAACTTAAAAAAAAAGTCAGCCTGGGCAATACACTGACATCGTCTCTCAAAAACAAATACAAAAAACAAACAAACGAAGAAAGACTCAATAACTTAGTGAACTAAAGAAAATCTTAAGCATTACAAACCTTGTTGCTGAAAAAATCTCATCAAACTTTTGCTTCAGAGCCTTTCCTTCACTTAAAGGCCAATTAGAGTCTTCTTGATGACAGAAAATGACATTATTTAGCACAGATTTAGAAACCCCAAGTGCGCTTATCATTTCTCGGTCAATTTCTGCACACTTGGAGCTGATACTGACCTTTTCACCATGCCTATAAGAAATAAAAGTCAAGAATATTAAGTAAAATAACCTATTCTATTGCTTAATCAATCCTTCGTGCTGTACTTGTTTATTTTTTATTTTTTAACTACTAGTTTTTCTTAAGTTTATTGGTTTACATTAGCATCATTTGGATAATTTTTATCCATATTTTGGATAAATGATAGTTTATTGGTTTACATTAGCATCATTTGGATAATTTTTATCCATATTTTGTACTCTGAATTAATACTTTAAAAATAACAATCCTCAATGTATTAACTATTATTATTCTTTTTTTTATTTTAAAAATAAACGGAGGAAAACATTAACAGACAACCTTTTACAAAATAGCAAAAGAACAGCACAGACAATACAGAGTTACAAACAAAGTGGTAGGAAATTAACAATGCTTGCTGTATTACATACTGATATCTTCAAAGTGGTTTCTCATGAAAACAGATAAAGACATACAATATTGATCAATCAAGGACTCATTAACAGTTTCTTTCAGCAAAGAAACAGAAGACAGTAGATCAACTATGTTAACTATCCTGTATATACATACATACAAAATTTCTCCTTCTTTCCCTTCTCTTTTCCCACATCCCAAATGCCCTTTACCCTTGAGCATTTTCCTATCATTTCACAATGTCTATCATACCTCTGAGTTTATATTAACTGTTTCAGGTTTTACACTAGTGAGACAATGTGGTGCTTGCACATGCAGGTCTGATTTATTTCACTTATGAGTATGGTCTAGTTGTGACCATTTACCTATAAAAGCCTCGAGTTTATCTTTCTTTATAGCTGAGTAATATTCCATTATATAAAAGCACCACAATTTTTTTACCAATCCTCGGTGGATGGATATTTGGGATGCTTCCAAAATTTAGCAATTACAAATTGTGCCTCTATGAACATAGGTGTATATATATCTCTGTGATATGATGTTTTTAGATCTTCTGGGAAAATACCCAGAAGGGGAATAGCTGGGTTGAATGGGACCTCTAGACCTAGTTTTCTGAGGAATCTCCAAACTGATTTCCACAGTGGTTTCACCAGTCTGCATTCCCACCAGCAGTGGAGAAGGGTTCCTATTTCTCGACAGCCACACCAGCATTTGTTACTGGTTGATTTCTTAATGCTAGCCATTCTTACTGGGGTAAGATGGAATCTCAATGCTGGTGATTTCTTTAGATGTGCAGAAACTCTTCAGTAGGATGAGATGCCAGTTGTTGATTCTTTGAAATGTTTCCCGTGCAGTTTGGTTTTTGTTCATGAACTCTCTGCCTACCCGTGTCTTCAAGGTTTTTACCTACTTTCTCTTCCAATAGATTTAGTGTTTCTGTTTTAATATTGAGATCTGTGATCCATTTTGACTTGAGTTTGGTGCATGGTGATAGACTTGGGTTTATTTTCAGTCTTTGGCAGGTGGCAAGCCAATTTTTCCAGCACCATTTATTAAAGAGGCTATCGTTCTCCCAGTGAGTTAGTTTGACCCCTTTATCAAAGATTAGATAGCTGAGTGTGTTTTTGGTTGTGGCTGTTTCTTCCAGTCTGTTCCATTGATCCTCAGGTCTTTTTTTTAGCCAGTACCAGGTTGATTTTAGTACAGTAGCTTTGTAGTATAATTTTAGGTCAGGGATTGTGATTCCACCTGACTTGTCCTTGTTGGCCAGGACTGCTTTTGCTATTCTGGGTCTCTTCTGGTTCCAGATGAATTGAAGGCATGTTTTCTCGAGATCTGTGAGGTATGCTAATGGTAGTTTAATGGGAATTGCACTGAATCTGTACAGCACTTTTGGGAGTATGACCATTTTCACAATGTTGGTTCTTCCTATCCATGAGCAAGGAATATTTTTCCATTTACTGAAATCTTCTTCGATCTCTTTTTTCAGAGTACTGTAGTTTTCACTGAATAAATCTTTTTGCTGTACTTGTTTAAACAGCTTCCTTATACTACAAAGCATAACTCTTAAGTAATTTAGCAGTTCATTGACAAAAAAGATTATATAAAACAGGGTGACACAGGAAAGGATGCCAATTTTTTTTTTTTAACATATTTGGGCTTGTAGTGACAGTAACTTAAAATATATATCTGTAATACATAGAGGAAAATACTACCTTCCACCCCCAAAACTCAAAAATAAGTAACTTGAATGAACAAAACAAAGCATGATCAATAGCAGACAGGCAGAGGTGACTTAAATAGGCAAGGGTAGTATCTGCCTTTACTGTTTTTTATACATTTCAATTTTTATTTTTTTTTTTTTCAATTTTTATTTTTAAAATACACACTGAGTACAGTATGTTTTGGAAGGGGTTAGAATGGACACAAGTAGATCAGCAGGTTATCACGTTAGACCATAAAAAGATCACATGGCTTGCAACAGAATGCCTAATCACTGGAGAAGTGCAAACAGTCAAGAAACATTTAGGTTAAATCCATAGATGTGGTGATGGATTGGAGAGAGCGAGCAAACAATGCATCAAGACTTGCGTTTTTGGCTTGTCACTGGACACATAGTGGGCTCATTCACTGAGATGAAAAGTAATGCAAGACAATCAAGTTGTAGGACATTTTTTGGGAGGGGTCAAAGAGAATCATAGCTTGGTTTGGGGCATGCCGAATCTAAGATATCATTGAAACAACTAGTTGAAAACAAGAGAGGCAGTTGGTATATGGGTCTGGAAACAGAAGTCTGACTTAGAGAAATCTAAGTCACTTGCAAACACACAGTAATTTGAGCAACTGATATGAAGATGATCTAGGAAGAGAATATGCAACAAGGACAGAACTGAACAGGACTAAGCTTGTGGTGCTCCAACCTTTATTGGCTGGGTGAATGAAGTAGGATGTGGTTGTGATGCAGACAAAGAGGGAACAGTGTTGTGCCATGAAGGTCTAGAAAAAATTTCAGGTAAAAACTGATTAACAACTGCCATGGGGTCGGGGATTTAACTCAGTGGCACAGCGCCTGCTTGGCAACGTGCAGTCCTGAGTTCGATTCTCAGTACCCAAAACAAACAACAACAAAAAATAACTGCCACTGGGCCGGGAATATAGCTCAGCGGTACAAGCGCCTGCCTGGCAAGCACAAGGTCTGAGTTTGATTCCCAGTACCAAAAAATAACTGGCATTTACTTATCTGCAGTACACAGAATTTGTGAATGCTAAGTTACCTGGTAAAGGGGAATAAAGGTTACAGACAGAATTAGACTGCTCATTATGTGACCTGAAAACAGATTATGCTGGGCTATTTGGAGGGGCCAATGTAATCACAAAGGTATTTACATGTAAGAGAAGGGAGAAAAGAGACAAAATGACTCAACATGAGAAATAACTCTGCTCACTGCAGCATGGAGGAAAGGCCATGGGCCAAGACACTTGGGTGGTTTCTAAAAGATGAAAAGAGTAAGAAAACATTCTTTCCTCCAGCCCCCGGAAAGAAACACAGCCTACTCAACACCCTGATATTTAGCTTGGCTGTGTTGTTTTAAGACTAACTTTAAGTCTGTGGTTTGACATAGCAGTCATGTGAAACTAATATGTACGCTTTTACTACATAATAAGCATTTTACCTCAATCCTTATGTTTTGTTTTTTGCTATCAGGAATCGAACTCGGGACATCAGGCTTGGCAGTAGGCACTCGGCTCCTAAGCTATATCCCTGGCCCTTTACAACATTTTTCTAAGATACATACAGGGATAATGAACCTCTATCTTACAAAGGTCTACTTTGTACAACAACAGCACTGTCTAGGCTATTAGTGACCTCAGTGGAGCTGTTTCTGTGCAAGAATGGGACTAAAGGAGTGAGGAAAAAATAAAGAAATGGAGACAATTAAATATCCGCACAGGGCAGACACTGGCTGCACAGGGCAAGGGGAGGACAAGAAGTAATGAAATCCAAAGCTATGAGAGAGGCCCGAGTGTGATTAAAAGCCAATGAGAAGAATATGCTTGAGAAGGCAGTGCCTAGGGCAGTGCCTGTAGTAGGCACTAAACATTACTGGCTAAATAAAGGTATTATGTAGTTTAATAAACACAAAGGAAGGGGAGCAGGGTGAACAATTAAGCAATTTGCTCAGCAAGGATAAAGCCTTGAATCTGGCAGCCTAACTCCAACTGTTGAAGATAACACCCGAATCTAACACAACAATAATGGTTAACAGAGAAACTTACTCTTCCCTACTTGTCTGCTTATCATCTCTCCCACCTTTATACCTGACATGAGCATTTTTATTCATTTAACCCTACATTTGAATGAGCATGTACTCAATTCAACAACTTCCTAAATCACTCAAGGAAATACAACAACACAGTATCACTAAATCTTTAATGGAATCATTCCATTTAACCGACAAATAGTACCAAAAACTTCAATGTTGATAGTGGGAGATGTGTATGAAGGGGCAGTGAATAAATAGAAACTCTGTACTTACTACCCAATTTTACTGTGATTCCAAACTACTCTAAAAAATAAAGTTCATTAAAATTATTTTTTTAAGGTATCTAGAATAGCAAAGACTTACTTACTTATTTATTTAGGTACCAGGAATAGAACTCAGGACCTCGTACTTGCCAAGCAGGCTCTTGTGCCACTGAGCTACATCCCTGGCCCCAAGTTCACTAAAATTAATATGCTCCCCTAAAATAAAGAGAAGGAACAAACCACAGTCTATAAAGCCTAAAAGACTAAAAATGAAGAAATACTCAAATACAGTGTTAATACTTACTTTGTTCTAGTAATGACTCCTTCCAAGGTTTTAAATTCTGTCTTTTTGCTTTTCTGAGAACATACCATAGATCGCTGCACAGCTATACATTCTCCATTGACATCACGAAACTGTAGACGAATCTGAGCTCTCACGTCTGTTTCTTGAGCAACCTTTGTAGGTAAACAGAGAAAATTATGCCTTCATAATAAGCACCAGAATGTTAGTTCTGAAAAAAAGGGGCATAAACAATCTTGCTCTTCCAAAATGAGGTGAAAGAAAGAAAAGCTTAAATATCCAAAGTAACATTTTTTACATTCTATTCAAAATATGAGAGAAGCCAGGTATGGTGGCACATGCCTGCAATCCCAGGACTCTTGGAAGCTGGGCCAGAAGATCCAAAGTTTGAGCCCAGCCTAGTCAACTTGAGTGAGTCCCTGTTTCAAAGTAAAAAAAAATTTAGAAGGGTGATGGATGTAGCTCAGTGTGAAGGGCCTCAGTTCAATCCCTAATACTGACAAACAAATACACTTTAATTGATTTACTAAAAGGATATATTATCTATCTCCTTTACTCAGCACCATTAAAAGTCTGTGAATATTTTAATGAATTTTATCTTTAATTTTATTAAGTATAAAAATTTAACTTAAAAAATCATAAGATAATAGAAAAACAAAAATACAACATATGTAATGCTACTCCCTTGACTCACTTCAGAGTAAGATGCACCATCAATATTTTCTACAAAATAAAAGTTCTCAACACAAAAATCAGGAAACTGATACTGATATGTTATATGGGTCACAGATCCCATTCAAGCTTTGCCAATTGTTCCAATATGTCCTTTACAACAAAACCATGCAGTTCAGAATTATACATTATCGGTCCTATCATTTTATTTTTTTTCTTTTTTGAGACAAGGTCTTGCTACATAGTTCATTCAGGCTAGCCTCAAACTCAAGGTGATCTTCCTGCCTCAGCTGCCCAAGTGCTGCTGAGATTACAGGCAAGCACGACCATACCCAGACTCTTTAGTTTCTTCCAACCTAGAATGCTCATATTTTCCTGGTCTTTTATTACTGACAAGTTGGAGAATTACAGACCATTATTTTGTGGAATACCTTCCCAATTTTAGATCTGTCTGGTACTTTCCTGTGATTGAAATAAAGTTACAAATCTTTGGCAGGAATATTGTAGAAGTGATGGTGAGTCCTTTTCATTGTCTCTCATCAAATAGGGCACAGCTTCAATTCATCTAATTATCAGAAGTATTAATTTCAATCACTTGATCAAGGTGTATTTGTCGGCTTCTTTTTTTTTTTTTTTGTATGGGGAATCAAACTCAGGACCTTGCCCTTGTCAAGCAAGTGCTTATGCTGCTGAGCTATATCCCCGGCCCGTGCCGGCTTCTCTGCCAAATATTTTTTACAGTGATGCACTGATACCATGTAAATTATCCCACACAATATTTTATTTAACTCTCCTCACTAGTTTTCGTAACTATTGGTTCTTACCTGAATGACTATTACAATCTACATCAACTGGCAACGTTCCAGTTCCATTACTCCTTCCACATTTACCAGTCAACATCCTACTAGAACAGAAGGCTTTGTCTTTTCTCTTTTTTCTTCTTCATTTTTTGTGTAAGTGTGAACTTGGATTTTTTACTTGGTCTTCAATCCCTCACCACGTTACCACCTCTATTTTTTGTGGATGCATTTCTTACTCAGTCCTAACGGCTTTTGGACTGAGTAACTACACAGGAATAACAAAAAGTAAAGTGTTGAACATTTTTACTGTAATTGAGTACTAAATTTACATGCTTTTCTTGTATCTATCATTTGCGCTCAAATGATTTTCCTAGCCTCTTAATGGCACAAATTACACTGATTGGGTTTTGGGTGTTAAAGAAACTTTACAATCCTAAGGTAAATCCCACTTGGTTAAAGTGTATGACTGTCATTTATACATCTGTGAATTTTACTTGCTAATTGTTCTGGCTTGTGCCTAGATGTCTCTGAAAACCCTCATACAGCCTTAAGTGGGGCTTTTTCATAGGTGGCTGAGTATGTGATGCTGGGATTAAGGGTGTGTGATTACTAAATCAGTCCACTGATTGGTGTGGCACTGTCCTAATCCCAGTAGACCACATAGAGTATAAAAGGGGCAGAAAGACACTGTTAAGGTCCCTTATTGCTTTTGTCACCTTGTGGGCACCATAATGCTGTGACTGCCCTCTGCCACACCATCCTGCCATGGAACCAGCTGATTATGGACTAGAACCTCTACAAACTGTGAGCTAAATAAACCTTTCCCCCTTTATCTTTGGGTGACAGGTATTTTGTCTCAGCAATGAGAGAAAACTAAGACACTACTAATATTTTACTAAGGATTTTTGCGTCTACAATAGTATCAGTAGTTACTGTAGTTATGTGGTATCATCAGTTATCTTTTGGTTTTGGTATCAAGGTAATGCTAAACTCCTAAATTGGTAAGTACTCCTGCCTCTTCAAGTTTGTGTAGAACGGGCATTACTTCATCCTAAAGTATTTGGCAGACTTGTCTTAGTCACCTTCTCATCACTGGGACACAACATGTGACACAACTTACAGGAGGAGAGGTTTATTTTGGCTCACGGTTTCAGTTTGTGATTGGCTGACTCCAAGGCAGAAATGGCAGGGTGAAGGGGAATAGCAGAGGGAAGATGTTCAACCTCTGGCAGCCATGATGCCAAGAGAGAGACAGAGGAGCTGGGGACAAAAATACACCCTTCCATCATTGTGAAAAGATCCAGAAATCAGGACAGTCATTTCTTTAATATCCATTTAAAATCTATTCATTTCATGTTAGTGGGACTGTTAACCTGTCACCAAGCAAAACTATTTAAAACAAGATTTAAAACTATTTGTGGCCTTTATGTGTTAATCCTGGTTGAAGATGAAGCTTCACGATACTGTTTTTATTCTACACATTAACCAGCTCTAAAACACAGACCTTTATCAGCAGCAGGCAAAGAATTTCATGACAGACTATAAAGTCATGTAATCTGAAAAGCAGTGTTTCCTTATGAAAGAGCTCAAGTTGCTTGTAAAACTAATCTAATTAAAAAGATGTATAGGGGCTGGGGATTTAGCTCAGCTGCGAAGTGCCAGCCTGGCAAGCGCAAGGTCGTGAGTTCGGTACCGGAAGAAAAACAAAAACAAACAAATAAATAAATAAAAACATGTATAAATGCTCTTGAAAAATTAAAAAAAAAAAAAAAAAAGAATACACCCTTCCAAATTACACACCAGTGACCCACCTCCAGTCAAGTCGTACTTCCTAACAGCAAGTTGGCTATACCACCCCAATGAGCTAATCACCTTCCAAACATATGAGACATCCGCAAGACACTTTAAATTTAAATTATAACAAAGCTTCACCAATGGAACCATCCGGGCTGGAGTTTTCATTAGCAGATTTTAAACTAAAAATTAATTTAACAGGTGTATTTCTTCTTGAGTGAGCTTTGGTAATATCTGGTAGCTTTGGCAGAAGTTTCTCAGCACTAGAGCTTAAGAAAGAAAGCAGAGTTAAATACATAAATATGAGGTCGCCAGGACATAATTAGTACTTAAAGCCATGGGACCAAATGAGATCGTCCAAGGAGGAGACAGAGAAGAGGCTAAGTCTTGGGGCATACTAGCATTTAGAAATCAAGCAAAGGCAAACCCAGCAAAGACTAACAAATGGCTAGGGGAACAGGAGGAAACCCTAAGATGTGCCACGGACAGCAAAAGGAAAATGTTTTTTGAAAAATAATAACCATCTTGGCCTTTTGATTAAGATCAAGTGTGAAAAATAATAACTAGCCAGGAGTAGTGGCACATGCCTGTAATCCTAAAACCTGGAGGCTGGAGCAGGGAGATGACCTCATTTGAGGCCGGCCTCTCTCCAAAATAAAACAAATAAAAACTAATAATAACCAACTGTATCAGATCTGTTAAAAAGGTAACAAGAATCAGAAACAGACCACTCTAGCAACATCCAGCCCTTTTACTGGAGGGGAAAAAAGAAGAAAATTTGAGTGGAGTAGACAACAAATGGGAGGTAATGAAGTGACAACAATGGTACATACAACCTTGTGAGTTTTGCTAACAGCTGGAACAAACAAAGGGAATAAGCTTGAGGATGTTTCGAAGTAAAGGGAGCAATTGAAGACTGCAGCCTATTTATAAACTGCTGTGAAGCATCCCACAGAGAAAGAGAAAATGCTGATGCAGGAGAAAGGAATAAAAGAGTAAAATCCCTAAGTTGATAAGAGCGATGGATGAGCTCTAGCCTAAAAGAGGAGCTGGTTGATGCTCAGATAAGGCAAATAACAATTACCGTTAATGCAACAGAGGAAACAATATGGGTACACGTATAAGGAATATGGTAGATTTTTTTATTAGAAAATACCAAATTTTCATCTGATTGTCATGTGATTTCTCTTACCTTTCAATAAAACACAAGACAGTATCATTAATTGAGGAAAACAGATTATAGGTGAAGGAAACAGGTGTGAAAGTCATTTCATAAAGGGCTCAGTAATGTATTACCACTTTAAAATGAAAATTCATAATTATAGTTGCCTGTAGTCACATAAAGGAAACACAATTTAAATGATCAAAGGCAGGGGTTGGTTAAATAAATACAATTCAGGGTACAAGCTCAACAGAATACTATTTAGTCATTAAGTATTTCAGTAAAAACAATAAAATAGAAGTGTACTTCTATACTTACACAGGCATGGCTTTATAAACATGGAAAATAATCCTGGCCTTAATGGGGCTGGGAGCAAAGGATATTGAGAGAAGCACATGACCCCACTAAACATATTTATTTTTGTTGCACATACGTATACAAGTCTATAGGCCAAATTTCACGCCCTTTACACATGCTAATAGTATAAACAACTAATTCTGACAAGGATTCACATACAGAGAGTTTCATCAGGCTTTATTTTAAGCAATCTAAATATAAAAAAAAAATCATGCAACTATTCTCCCCAAAACATCATACATTTAAGTACAAAATATTTCAAATATACAAAAGCATAAAGATTAAAAGAAGCACCCACATACCACACACTCAGATTAAAAATTTATTATAATGCTTTAATGACATGGGACTTTTTGATGTTTAATGGGGAGAAAGAAAAAAAAAAAAACCCTAAATGCAATATGGCCTCAGCTATGTCAAACAGTATGGAGAAGAGGAAAAGAACACATGAAAATATCAACGGTGGCTACTCCCACAGTGCTCAGACCGTATGTAGGTGACTAATCTCTCTATACTTTTCCACTGCTAGGTTTTCTACAATAAGCTATTATCACTTTTATAATGAGATAAAATTCTAAAAATAAAAAATTTTTACTAGCACCATTACCTTGGGATCATGAACAAATGTATTTCCTTTGGTTCCAGGAGGGAAGTCTCCAGTACAAATATATTTTAGACATTCTATGATGGTCTATGGAAACAAAAAAAATATTAACACAGGTATAAATGAACTGAAGAAGTTAATCGTAAAGATTTAATTCATCACAAATATATTATGTGAATATAATGCTGGAAAAATAAAAGGGGAAGTGGAGAGAAAGGGGGAAAAAGAATTAAAATATGTTATATACAGGTACCAAGTCCCTACAGTGAATGTAATCATTATGTACTGCAAACATGTACTCTAATAAAAGTAAAAAAAAGTTATGGAGACTATAAAAATGTGATCAGATACAATTTGTCAATATAAAGCCCATACAATTAAAAATTTGTTCACAGAAAAGCTATGTAATTAAAAGGTATTTTAAAATAATTGTTATTTAAAGAAAAATTATTTCCAATTAAAACTCTTTAATAATAACAATGGTGCTGGGTGTGGTGGCCCACACCTGTAATCCCAGCACTCGAAAGGCTGAGGCAGGAGGATCGTTGTGAGTTTGAGACCAGCCTGGGCTACAAAGTGAGCTCAAGGCCAGCTGCATAGTGAGACCCTGTCTCAAAAAGACGAAAAATAAATAAATAAATAATAATAACAACGGCTAACAACTGCATAGCGTTTTCGTGTGTCAAGTATTATACTAAGCACTTTTATATGTATTAACCTTCAAATTTTCCCATTAGCCCTATGCTGCAGAAACTATTTTCACCCTAAGGTATAGAGCAGTGAAGTTACTCGCTACCGGTCACACAGGTAATGTCAAGGGGAAATTTTTGTACTCGGGCAGTGACCATCAACCCTCTGCCTCCAGGGGTGCACTTGGTTTAACACTAAGTACACAAGAGGCAGTCACTAAAAATTTGTACCTAAAAAGAAGTGGGCAACCATCCAACTCCCAACCTTCTCTTTTGTGTGTGCTTTCCGCAAATTCTTCCCTTTCTCTTCTGTTTACTGGTACTGTCTTGCTTCTTCTCAAGCCATGAACGCTTCCTGACCCGAATGCTTCCTCGCTCCATTTTCTAAATACTCCCTGGACTTCTTAAAGAAACGCTGTCAATAAGCTGCGCTCCAACTTTCTGACGGGTTAGAGCACCCTAACGCAAAAACACTTTTGCGACTGAATTGAGTCTCACGCCATCGATTTCGTTTAAAAGGCAAGGCAGCTGCTTTCTACTTAGCGGCCCTAGCAGGCGGCACACTTAGCAATGCCGTTACTTCCCGTAACTTCCCAAGGCGCCGCTGCAGGGACCGCCACCGGGACGTGGCGCCGCGC